TTTGTATCCCGTCAACTTGGAGGTCAACTTTGCTTATGTCTTCACCTGAACTAATAAGTGTGGCTTCAAATCCAGTGTCTTCTATGGCTTCCAGAATTTGATTGTGGTTGACAATATTAGGATTGTAGTGTACTTCCGCTTCATAAGTTGCCAAAGCTACTTGAGCTTTCAGCACGCCTGGAATTGCTTGCAGAGCTGATTCAACAGTGGAGGAGCAAGAAGTGCAAGTCATTCCAGTTACGATTATGCGACATACTTGAACGGATCTCTCATTAATCTCATCTCTTAGCAATGTAGCTTCAAACCCAGCATCTTCAATGGCCTCGCGAATAGTCTCCTCCTAATAATATCCAGAACCGCGAGGGTCAGTTACAAGTTAATAAAATTTCTACCAAACATTAGAAAGAATATCGATGGCGAAATAGCAAGTTCATATGAGAGTCAATGCACAGCCAATTTCCAGCGAGTATAAATAAAAAGGGGAAACAGAACGACTGAAACTTGGGAAAGAGTAAAGAAATCACATTTAGATGGGCCAAACACGTTTATACTGGATTCGAAACGAGCTCTCTTTTTACGAATTAGCAACAAAATAATGCCGTGATATATCTTAGGTTTCATTTGATATGATTCCACTCAATCAATCAACAAGGTTCAATAATTAAAATCCAGGTCCCAAGTGCAAGTAGCTTCTGGGAATTTTGGGCTATAAGAAGATCCTGGATTTCAGCTTTTGAAAAAAAATGCATAGACAGCTACAATCTATATTCATTTATCCTCATCAACAATATTGAATAATCAGAGAATAAAACAAAGGAGAAGCCTTTTTTTTTTTTTTTTTTGGAAACTCCAACGTCAAGCAACAGTTAGTTAAAAGGAGGGGAGGAGGGGGGAACTGAAACGACGCAATGAAGTTTCGGTTCAATCAAAGGACAAGACCTTGCTCAGAACAATTTTAGACACACTACTGATAAATAGAATGATACCGGAAAAACGATGCACCCATATCATGTAGTCATAAAGCCAATTAACCTAGCCATTCTAGACTGAAGGGAGGCGGAGCGGCCCGAGAAAACAAAGTACTTACGTTAACGTAGGTGGGGTGGAAGAGAACGAAAGCTTGATTATTCAGAACATCCACGACCGCTTCACGAATTCCAGGTAGGCGCTTGATCGCTTTCTCGACGGAGCCGGCGCAGGCAGAGCATGCCATTCCGACGACGGAAAAAAGGGCCTTGGCTTCTGACCCCTCCACGCTGCTCCCCTCTTCCGCCGTCACTCCCTTTGGGTACGTCGGCATCGACGGGTAATGAGGCCGCGACGATAGCCGATCCCATCCTTTACTGCGGATGCAGGTCAAAGCTAAGAGCTTGGACGCCATGGAACTTTTTACTGCAACCCGCAAACTTTCTTATTTAAATTTTTGGTGCGAAACGGCTCGCAAGTTATAAAGGCTCGTAGGCGGAAGACCCGCTATTTCATTTTATAATACCGGTAGTGTATGTTGTCGGCTTCTCCTTCATGATGATGGCTGATAAGACACCGCCTCAACAAAATTTTGACTTTAGGGCTTGGGGAAAATTACAGATGAATGCCAAATAAAACAATTAAATGCAAATAAGATGAAAGATTGTATATTTACGCTCAAATTTGTATGTTTAGTCATTGAGTTGTGCTATTTATAGGCGAGACTTTGATATTCATGGGTTAAATTATATTATTTACAATTCAAATTTATAAAACAATTAAATACTTTAAGCCTTTTATTTAATTATTTTCCCTCCAAATTATTGGTGATTGGTGAAAGAGATCCCACGGTGAGATTTACTTTTGACTTTACAAGTTAACTTTATAGTGGAAGTTAGTAGGATTCTCCATGTCCGTGGGCTTAACGCAACCTTGGGTCACTTTAATAGGCCCGTTTCAGAAAACGATGACGCCTTTTTTTTCATGTGAGTGAAATAAAGAAGAAAAAAAGTAGTCAAAAATTTTTTATTAAAAAAATTAATTGCGCAAAGATACTTAAAAGGCTTAACTTTTAAGCAGCTACAATTTCTCTTCAGCGTAACATATGCAAGGCTGAAGCAAGGCTTGATGTGCAGGAGCAATCCTAGCCATTCAGTTATTAAATCGTTTTTTATTTGTTGTTGAGATAAGCAAATATTTCCCCCTTTTTTTCCTTTCTCTTTACAATTTTTTTAGTTTCATAATTCATATGTCCGAAAAAATATTTTCATGCAAAAAAATAAAAAAATACATCTGGTTCAGATCAAATAGAGCATGAAATCGTCTATCAAATAACATTTTTTCTCTTTAATATTATCAAATTATTCTATCTTTTTCACTGATTTTTATATACAGTGGTTTGTGTTCAAGTTTATATTGTCCCATGGCTTAAAGGCTACAGCTAATTCTCGTATCTTCTATTTTATCATCGTTCTTAAAATTATTAAAGTCTAATTAAATTTAGTATTTAGGATTGGATGTAATATTATATTTGTGATGACGGCTTTTCTTTTCTCTTTTTTTTTGGTTGATTGTAATTAATTAAACATACACTTATTGGATCATATATATGTGTATATAAAAGGGAAAATTAATTTTTTGGTCCTTATAGTTTTCACTCATTTGTAACTCAGTCCTTATAGTTTTGACTCGGTTGTAACTCACTTCCTGAAGTTTGACTCACTGCAACTCGGTCCCTATAGTTTTAACCATTTTATAATTTAGTCACTCCTTTTACTAGGTATATAATTTTATTTTTCAAAAATCTAAGGACTGAATTATAAAATGGTTAAAACTATAGGGACCGAGTTGCAACGAGTCAAATTTCAGAAACTGAGTTATAACCAAGTTAAAATTATAGGGACTGAGTTGCACCGAGTCAAAGTATAGGGACTAGGGACCAAATGATTAATTTTCGCTATACAAAATCTTTGCTTCAAAGACTTTATGCTAACTAGAAAAGTAGCAACCCAATCATACCAGAAAATGGAAAGCGACTCGATGTCTCATACCGTGTGAAAAAAGAGAAGGAAGATAAAAGCAGAAGGTTCTAGGGAATATATGAGCGTGTGATGTGAATTTTGCCTGAGCAAAACAAATAAAATATACAATATAATTCCTAAAATATCCTTGCTAATTAAGTATATTGGCTAAAACTATCATTTTAGAAAGATTATCTTGGAAAAAAATGCATAAATATAAGACAAAATGGATGGGTCTTATAATTAGGACCAAATAAAAAGTCAAATGGGTCTTATAATAAGGACCGGAGGAGTAATTCTGTAACCAAACTTGGTGGACGGTGATGATCGGATGATTATTGGTTGTTAGAATTGGATTGTCCGAGCACGCTACTACTTGCTTATGCCTCTTTTTTTATTCGATTCTTTTCCACCTCTTTTTACTCGGATGCAATCTGATGGTTTTCAAAATCACGAATTATCTGTACTGGTTTTGTTATATAACGCGTGGAATCGAATGGACCAACACAATTTCATAAACGTGGTTTTATCTGGTTTTGATTATTACAACAAGGATAAGGACAGGAAATGGTAAGCTGTGAAACTGTCAAATGGCATGACATGTGCAAGTGAAGTACGTGTTAAATCCCTCACTATTATTACTATTATTAAACATTATCAGAAGTCGTATCATGTATACTCCAACGTTATACGTCTCCCTGCATTTTAAACGCGAAAGCTTTCACTTCAATAATTCCTTCCAATTGTTTTTTTTTTTCTTTTGACCGGTCTTCCAATTCTTTAACTTATCCTTTGGAATTTGAATTTGGGCCTTCCTTCTTTTTGGACTGTGGATTGAAGTCCAAGAAATCAAGACGTAAGGGATTACGTATAAGGGCCGGCCTTCTTTAAACCCATACTTTTCAGGCCGTCCACGTCAAAATCCATTATGCCCTCACCATGTTGTCCATGGAAAAGCCTTATCCCCTTTTTTTGTTTTTTGGGTTCGCTCGTAGTACTACGTCGATGTCGGTAAATAATAACCTCCTTTACCTCTTTTCTATTAACAATTTTTTTTTATTGCTACACGTTTTATTAATACAATCAATTTAAACGCAAATACATAAACTTATTAATGTTTAGTTCATTGGACATTTTGATTCGAACATGGAGAGCTGCCCATGAACATAAAAAGAGCCATCTCAAGACAACAGATAAGAAGAAATTAAAAAAAAAAAAAATGGCGCAGCATTAAAATAGCACGAAGATGAAATTTAGTTCTTATAATATTAGGATAAAATGCTTAAATATCCTAAAAGAATTTACAAAGAATTATCCATCAGTTGGAATTTTTTTAAACTTTTGTATATTTTGAAAGTTTTATTTCGTAGTATTTCTATTCTAAACTGTTATCTATCGTTAAATTTAACAATAAAAAACACAGATCAAGCTGTAAAATTTAATAATCAAATTTAACGGCAGATAATATTTTTACAATGAAAATAAACTCTTATGAAATATAAGAGTTAAAAAATTTTGAATACTAAGTGTTTTTTTATGGATACTTTTAAATGTTTAAACACTTTATCCCCATATATAGATTTGATAATATTTATATATAAAAATATATTGATGTATATTAATTACTTTCAGTCCAAAAAAAACTTTCGTCTTCTCATCGGTCCTATGCTCCGAATCAATATTTCGCCCTCGCGAATAAAGAAGAAAACCATTCTATAAATAATAAATAAATAAATAAAAGACATAGGTGTCATGGTGAACATGACCAGCAGATCAGGCGTGAATTAGCTGTATCCCCACTCGAACTCGCAGGCTTTCAGATTCGCCAATTAACTGAATCAAGTGAGTTGAGGAAAGCGCTCGACCGATTTGCTTAGTAGTTTGAAATTCGTAAAGTGCATTTGATTTCTTCCGAGTTTTAATGCCAACAATCCTATGCATTCTAAAGCACTGAGGAAGTAAATAGGGCTTAACTCGCAGGGAGTTGCTTGGGTTTGACCTCGGCCGTATCCTCTGATTGCTGACCATTCCATTAACTTCATTGTGCATTATTATTCGAAAATCGAAATTCATCACCTGGCAATTTGATGGATTATAAAATTACTTCATGTGTTTTCTGCCACTGTCAATTAAAACCGAGTGCCAACCTGTTGGTTGAGTAGTTTCTTTATTTTCCTTGTAAATATTATGGACTTCACGTCTTTGCTTCGTCCCTGACTTCAAATGCAACTTTGGATATTAGCATTAATTCAGGTTGGAGCTCAACTCAGTCCACTGATCACTTTTTCGCCTGTGGAAGCCAATGGCATTTGTAACATGGTTTCTTAAAGCTAGGGTCAGAAATCAGTACCTGCTGTTCTAAATGCCACCTCAGCCGAGTGCTTTGAGGAGCTGTAGGAAAATTTTTATGTGAACTGCATTTTATACATGCCAAACATTTTCATTAGTCTTAATGCTCACCAACCTCACTGCAGTTCAATATTCTTTTCTTCAGTTAAGAAAATGCAGTTGCATGTTCCGTAATCCATGCATTGATGAAATTCGCTTATTCCAAGCATGATAGAAATTTCATGAGTGATGATGCAAGTACAGTGATAAAATCCGCTCATGCCAAGCATGCTAAAAATGCAATGAATGGTGAAGTACGTATCTTTATTTGTATGTTATAAATATTTTAGGATTTTTTTTATGGTTATAGGACATATTACTAAAAATTTTTGGGCTGTCACTATGTATTCCTGAGTCTTATTAATTAGATGGAAGCTGATAGCGAAACGAGAAAGGAAAAATATGCTGCTGATATTTCCTCCATAAAGGAAGCACATGCCCGAATAAAATCATTGGTTCATAGAACACCAGTTCTTTCCTCTGAATCTCTGAATGCCATATCAGGAAGGCAGCTTTACTTTAAGTGTGAATGTTTCCAGAAGGGGTGAGATATTAAGTTGTGATGCATTGCAAAAAATTTTGGATTCCAAGTCTTTTTCTTTCTGGAGTTTTAGTGCTTTCCATTCAATTTTGTGTATGTAATTAATAAAAGAGGAAAAAAAAGAAAAGAAAAGAAAAGACAGTTGACTTTATTCTATGTTTTTATGGTTATCAGTGGGGCATTTAAATTTAGAGGTGCCTGCAATGCTGTTTTCTCTCTTGATGATACTGATGCTTCCAAAGGCGTCATAACGCACAGCAGGTTTGCTATGTCCAGTTATTTCAGAAGTTGATATGTAAACAGATTTTGTGTAGTCCTGTTGATCACATTCTCCAAAATTAGTGGTAACCATGCTGCAGCATTGGCTTTGGCGGCAAAGCTAAGGGGGATCCCTGCATATATTGTTGTTCCAAAAAATGCCCCAATTTGCAAGGTTGAGAATGTAAAGCGTTATGGTGGTCAGGTTATCTGGTCTGAAGCGTCTATGAAGTCCAGGGAGGAAATTGCAAACAAAGTATGGCAAGAGACTGGTGCAAATTTGATACATCCATATAATGATGGACGTATTTTGAGGTAAATGATGTGTTTTTATTTATGATTGAAGTCCCTGTTAGGTAAATCTTTCGAGGGATAACGAAGGGGGTAAAAGCATTATCTTCCTAGCAATATATTTATTAGGTCTAATGTAACTCGCGCTTGGAGAAGCAAGAATATTTCATTTCTTTGGGATAAAGCTAGGAAACAGGGTTCGTTTCTGTAGACAGAATGCACTATTTTCTCGTTCCTTCTAAGTAACATTTTTTCTTTTCCTTCTGATTTCATGCTTAGCTATGAGATCTCGCGCATTAGTGGCATTAGTATGGTTCTCAGTGTCTGGTTTTCACAACTTCAAAATCTTGAAATCTAACAATTGCGCAGGCTATGGTGATAAGTTGGACTCTGTCCTTCCTCATTATTACACTTTTTTAATGTTTTTTTATTGTTCTTGCAGTGGCCAGGGTACCATATCGTTGGAGCTGCTGGAACAAGCTCCACAAATAGACACCCTAGTAGTTCCCATTAGTGGTTTGTTCACCTTTCATTGCAAAGGAGTCAAAATCGTATTTAACTCAGCATTATTTGATATTTTGGTTTTCTCACACGATAAAACTGTAGGTGGTGGTCTGATATCAGGAGTAACATTGGCTGCCAAGTCCATCAACCCTGCTATACGTATTTTAGCTGCTGAACCTAAAGGAGCTGATGACGCTGCGCAATCTAAAGCAGCCGGGAGGATAATTACATTGCCTGAAACCAATACTATAGCTGACGGGCTTAGAGCTTTTCTTGGAGATTTTACATGGTAATAAAGACAAATCTCTACTAATCAACATCATGCACTGGAAAATTGGGTTTTCGGTCCACTCACCATTGTGAATACGGTACTTTTTGTGGGGAGGGAATGCAATATGCATATGTTTAACGTCCATTATGTGGTTTTGATCTTAATCATGTTTTGCTTCACTCATCTAGTCAACGTATTCCAGCTTTGTTGGTTATTTACTCATTTTTCTTGTATTTTTCATCTGCATGTTATGATGGAGTAGGCCTGTAGTACGAGATCTTGTTGAAGACATTATAACAGTGGAAGACAGTGAAATAATAAAAGCCATGAAACTCTGTTTTGAGATTCTTAAAGTTGTCGTTGAACCAAGTGGAGCGATTGGCCTTGCTGCTGTTTTATCGGATGCTTTCCAGAACAATCCTGCTTGGAAGGACTGCAAGCATATAGGAATTGTAGTTTCGGGGGGCAATGTTGATCTTGGAATGCTTTGGAAATCTTTGGAAAAATGAAGAAGAGCTTATTTATTTAGCGTGCGTGAACATATATTCAATTCTACTAAGCTGAAGACAAATACTAAACTTGTTGGGTTAATTTTCTTGTCAGGACTTGTGTTATCTAGATAAAATTTCCTTTACAAATTTTAGTGTGACCTAGGAGAAATGATAATTAATATACGGACAATAGAATGCAAAGTAAAATAATAAAAATTATGAATAAATTAATACCGCTCATTATATTTTAAGATATGCAGTTCAACATGCTTTAATCTAAAAATATATTCATATGCATGTTCATAGTTTTTTTATGAATTCAGAGAATTTTTCGTATTAGACAATTATTTTTAGCCTATGATCATCATGTATCATCTTTTCAAACTCGCGCAATGGATGGGAAAGATACCCAGCTAAACAGAAATAGAAAGATTTTTTTTTTTTTGGGTGACATATTAGTGTGCAGGTAGAAATTATCAATTAAACGTGGGAAGCCTAAATTTGAACATACACAGCTGACGCATTATTAATGGTAAAAATAGATCGATGAGAACATACCTACCAACCCCTTTAATCTCTCCCTCAACTCCTATTTTTTAAGCATGATCAGTTTCTTTTCAAAGTTCCACTTCTCATGCCTCCTAAAAACAAGGATCGCCATTCGTTATTTTGTGTCCATAGTTTTCATTGAATCTATTACTCCCAATTTCCATTCTCTATTGCTCCCTCCCTCCCTCCCTCCCTCTATTCAGTTTCATTTCTTTCACATTTCGCTGGGCTCTTCTTCCTCATTGCTGGCAAAATGGTATGCTTTTCTATGTTTCATCTTCTTTAGGCTATGGCATTACAATCTCCTACCTAATATCTATGCGGTTACTATTCTCTGAATATCGAAAGGAAATGAGAGACCTTTTTCTGCCCTTTCACTTTTGGTGAATATTCCGTTATCTAAAGCATCTCATAAACATTATATTACCACTAGAAATTGGATATGATGGAAATGACTAGTTCCTTACAACATAGTGAATTAAAGTTCAAGAGAAGTACTTACAAAATTGCCTCTAACAAGAGAATACATATGAGCAAGAAAAAGAAACATCTCATAGACATTGTTACCATATTGTTTATTTTTATATCCTTTCATTTGATTTTGAGTGTAATTCGAAGTCAGACCCTTGCTTCCTTTTGAATTTGGATGACTTACATTACGTGAATTAGGATGAAGTATGAACATATCATCTTAATTCTTAAATTCAAATGAGGTGATCAATAGGAGACATAGCAGATAAGATTATTTAATGCGATTTAGATGCATGAGTGAAAGCAAATGTTGAGAATCAGTACTCTAATTTGTGGAATTGTTGAGGTAGGCAAACGCAGCATCCGGAATGGCCGTGAACGATGAATGCAAATTGAGATTTCAGGAGCTAAAAGCAAGAAGGACTTACCGATTCATAGTGTTCAAAATTGAGCAACAAGAAGTGGTGGTTGATAAACTAGGAGGCTCAAATCAAAGCTACAATGACTTTACAGCCAGTTTGCCAGCTGATGAGTGTCGCTATGCCGTCTTTGATTTTGATTTCACAACTGACGAGAACGTCCAGAAAAGCAAGATTTTCTTCATTGCATGGTATCTTCTGAACTTTTATGATCTGCTAATTAGGACTAATGATAACAAGAGGGTTCAATTAGTATTTTATTTCTCAGTTTCTTTTAGCATCTTAAATGGACCAAATTCATCTGTGGGTTTATGTTTCCTAACCTCTCCAGGTAAAACATAAAGTAAGCCTAACTAGACAAACAACAGGCCTACTTTGTGTTAACATAGAGAAGCCATGAGATTTAAATTAAGCGAGACTTAAGGCATCTTAAATTAGCTTTTGAGTATTAAAAATAACAAAATTGTCCCTCATTTTTATTTCATCTCATAAATTGCCTTAGAATCATTTGCCAACTCTATCATGCCAAGATAGTTATACTTCTAACCCAACTAAGATGAAGTTTTACATTGTAGTTAGTTTATTAGTTATATTGAGAGAGATGTGAGAACCTCAACAATAATTGAGTTGGCAAACTTAATAATTCAGGGCAGTTATTAAAAGAAATAGAAGATGAGGGACTGTTTCTGGTATGCTTGAAATTGAAAGTGGTTGTAAATGAATTCAATTAGGTCACCGGATACATCAAAGGTGAGGATGAAGATGGTGTATGCAAGTTCCAAGGACAGATTCAAGAGAGAACTGGACGGCATTGCATTTGAATTGCAAGCAACAGATCCGAGTGAGATGAGCATGGACATTGTGAAGGAGAGGGCTTTCTAATATATATATATGCAGCTCTCCTTCACCCTTAAAGAACAAAAATACTATAAAATGATTAACTTTGACTTTTGGGGCCATCTTGTTATTATTTGCCTGTCACAGATTGGGTTCAACAATCCAAGCGGCTTGTACCATCACCAGAATGCTTCAGTCTTCCTCGTTCATTTATGCAGTCTCTTTATTTGGTTTGAAGAGCCATCCATCATCCATGGCTAGTTCTTGTTCTAGTAGTTTCCATTGTGTAAGTTTGCTTCCATGTAGAGGAAATTTGTGTCTCGGACACTTATATTTTCGGATCCATGTTGCCAGTCTAACCAATTTGTGTTTTACTTGCTCTGCATTTGTGTAATACCAGCTGCAGATTGCTCATTTGCTGTTATATAATTTTTCTCATTTAGTTCCTTTTTTCCATCCCGGAAACTATACGGTATATAAGCACTGCTCATTTTAATACTTATAGCTCCCAACTTCACCCATAATTTATTTCTGAACTTTTTGGAAGGCACGTGATTATTAACCATTATATGGAATGAATAATAAAATCAATGGTGGAAACTGGAAGGACTCGTTTTGGTTCTTCGTACTAGCTTTTGAACCTGAAGAGTCAATGATCAAAGACTCACTATAGAGACCAACTTCATTGGGTCTTTATTATCTGCTGCACAACACTGCTGCGCAGTCCTACAGAACACCATCCTCTGTTTTTGTCTGCAGCATAACATCGCGCTACATGGTGCCTGTGCAGCAGACAAATAGGATTCAACTCTGCTAGCGAATCATTTTGGTTCTCACACTACCCATTCATCACTCAACGCTCTATGATTCAATTTTCACACGCCTGACTCAAAACATAGTAGTAAAAAATGTATAAAGAATGAGCAGAGTCATCTTATGTGTGTCTGCTTTCAGCATTTTATTCGGGGGCATATTACAAGAATAACAAAAGCGGCTAACCGAAAAGACCTCCAGTGTTGCCCTTTATGATCGAAATTTTAAAAAGGGTATTAGAGGAAACAAAAAGATTCGCATTTCAATTAATGCACCATATATACACCGTGCCAATTTTATACTGTGTCAATCATACAAGCAATGGCAGACGGAATATTTTCCAATGCCTAACCTTGATACACAAACATGCAGAGAAATCTCCCTGATCCCATACTTCATCTTAAAACTCCTATGGAACAGAAAGGGAAACACTGATCGGTGCACTGTTCTATTAATCTGCCACTGCCAGTGCCATTGCTATACAACGAGATGCTGTAGGGTAAGATGTATTAGTAGCGTATTTTGTTAGTAGTGAAGAATCATTTATGATGAAAGTGCAAGTTCAGCCCAAGCCAAAGATGAAGACTTGAACTCCACGCTCATTGATGTGTCAATCCTGATTTCCAGCATGCTACATATTTCTGTCATAGATGGCCGCTTGGTGGGGTCTGGATTGATACAAAGATTTACTACCTCGCATATTACTGCAAGGTCCTCGTATCTGAAATGTTTCAACTCTGGATCCACCACATATGACATCACCTCTGGCATTTCTAGATACTCCTTGGCCTGCACCAGATAAAAGAGCATTTGGCATTAACTACTTGATACTCAGTATTCCGTTTGAAACAAGAAATATCTTACCCAATCTACTAAGGACCCTTTATCCTTGCAATATGGAGGCCTCCCACTTATTATCTCCAACAGAAGTATACCAAAAGCATATACATTTCCCTGGGGATCATGATGGCGTGCCTCAAGAGAATGTGGAAGAACACAAACAGCACCTTGGCTTCCAACAGATTCAGAATTCTTTTCTGACCTTTCCAGTATCGTCTTCCAACTCTCAAAATCAACCAACTGCAGATTTAAATTTTTCACAATGAGAATCTTCAAGAGGGCTTTTTGGAATGACTCTAGTTCTAATCATTCCTGACTGCATAAAGATACCGAGCAGAATCATTATAGATAAGCTAGAAAATTTGAACTAGCTTGCAGGCTCACCGTAGGGGAAAAATCTTCTGTAAGGTATACAGCATTAGAATTCAGCTCTGATATAGTGAATGGAGGGTCAACTTCTGTGTGAAGATACTTCAGTCCACGCGCAATGCCAATAATGATTTTCATACGCCGTGTCCATGATATCTGGCTCCCTTCTCCATCTGCGCGGTTGTAATTGCATGTTTAAGGAAATGGAACAAATGAGAACACCCACACACACGAGATAACAAACTTTACTTACAATGTAAGTGCTCATGGAGTGTTCCATTTGAAGCATACTCAAAAACCAGCATCCTTGTAAATGGAGAGCTCGCTCTACAATATCCCAGGAGTTTTCCAGTGTTCTCATGATTTAATCTTGCCAAGTCTGCCACCTAATGGCATTGATACAGCCATTAATAAAAGATTTGTGTAGTTCCTAGTTTTTTCAATTCTTGCATGATATGGGTTACGCAATATTTCCAATTACCTCTCTCTGAAAATAGAGCTCAAGATATCCTGTCCAATGCTCCTCCTTAAGGCAGAGAGAAATTACAGCAATCTCAGGCCCGCCTTGCATGGTGCCCTTGTAGACTACACTATCAGGTGAGGACCCAATAATGTTGCTAAAGTCTTCACATGCAACTTCAAGCTCTTGTCTGCTGAAACTCCTCACATCCTTCAGCATCTCAGAGTCTGTACATTGATATCGCCAATCATGTGTTGAATGCGGCCCTACGACTTTGAAAAGTAATTAGGCAGTGGCAGTGGAAAGCAAAGAAACCATACCTATATATACTGTCATATGGTCCTTCCGGCTCGCATATTTCTTCCAAGGCCAAATGATAGATGATTTGTTGTCACATTTAAGAAGAGCGGCGAGAACTGCAACCAGAAAGATAAGACCAACCAAGGTTCCTGTCGCTATTTCTAAAGCCAAAAGCCAGGCAGGTTGGGATGATCTATGATGCCTGGACTCATATTCAGCAGGCCGATGCTTTGGACTGGCCACAGAACGGCTCTTGGCAGGTGAAGCACCAGCTATGAGATTAAAGTTCATTATTACGTATAAAGTCAGTAAAGAGCAATTTAAGGTGAAGATTATATCAACTAATAATTTGATAAGTGAAGATCAGGTGAAAGCAGTTGAAACTATCACATGAAATATCATCAAAACCAGGTTGAAGTCTGAAAGACGAGTATAAACCCATAGAAAGCCGTCATTTTTTAAATCAGAACTGAGCAAATTATGGGATGTCGTGATGAGACGCACTAATTCATTCCATAATGTTTAAATAATGCTGGGAAAGCCATGTCTAATGTCTTACATACCACATTGCAATGAAGTACGTTGCTTTAATTCTTTGCTTTGGAAGCAGTTCCCATGAAAGCTAGACCTGTATGACAGAGTATATGCAATCTAAATATGGTGATTTGAGGAAAGTGCCTCTGTGACAGGAGTACTGTGAAAAAAAAACCTGGGTAGATACTCCAAGCAAGCAGGTATGCCACCTACAAAGAAGTTGTATGAAAAATCTGCAACTTTTAACCGAGACGATCGACAGAGACCAGTTAAATTTGCATTTGAGGCATACCTGAAGAAATAATAGGAACCATGAGAGTCGCTAAAAAAATCCAAACTTTAATTCAAATAAATTGGTATCCTATTCTTTCTGCTGAGCGTTGCACTTACCTATGTTTTATTCTAACAATTACAAGCATAATAATAATGTCAGGGGCTCTCCTAAGAAAAATGACTGTTTAAGCATTTGACATTACCAGTAGTAAGTTATCCTATCCCATAACCATGACATGTACCCAAATTATTTCCTTCACGGAATGGAAAAAGACACTAACAAAATCTTCCTGACAACTTCGAAGCGTACTGGAATGGAAAAGAAAAAATTGGAAAACCAACAAAACCTGATTTTTACTTTAATGGAACATATCTGACAATTAAAGAATATCAATTACATGCTAGCTCTTTCAAATTAAACCAATTGCCAGATTAGACTATTTACTAAAGACTAGCCACGTTTGACGATAAAAATCATAGAAGGGAAAGTTTTGTCAAGCAGATGATAACAGAATCATGTTAGGGTAACAAATCCTTCACACCTAAGCAAACTAGACAAATGAGGACGACAATTTAACTCACATTCCACGCATATTTGGGGATAAGTTTGAACTCCCGCCAGCAGGAACTGGTCCTTGAAGTTTATTCCTGTCCAGCCTAAGTTCTTGAAGGTTTCTCAAATTTCCAAGCGTTGCAGGTAGCCTACCGGTCAACCCATTGGACTGCAGGTTTCTAGAAGAAGACGAACAAAGTTAGAACAAGTATGAGTCAATAGACAAACACTCTTTAGGAGTCAACAATTTTCTCCATTCAGGAGGAGCGTATTGGATTTATTTATTTACATTTGAACAATTTGAGCTAGATTCCCAATCTCTGGAGGAATTGGTCCAGATAATTGATTCTTCCCCAAATCCAAGACCTTGAGAGAATTCAAGGTGAACAATTCTTTAGGTAATGTTCCAATCAAATTGTTGCCATGCAAAATCCTACAGAGATAAGCACCAGAACTAAGCTTCAGTCATCTTATTTCTCAACCATGGCACATGGCAATAGCAACGATCAAAAGATAGGTTATCAGGTTGACATGGAAAAAGGAAAAACATAGAGCATACAGTTCTTGTAAGTAGGTGATTTGTCCCAATTCAGGTGCTAGAAATCCTCTTAATGATGAACCCGAGATATTTCTGCAAAGGAGCGTAATCTGTCAAAAACAGAAAAAAAAGAAAGAAAAAGAAACAACACTCGAGAGAAGCATTTGGATGGCGGAATGGTATCTTACAGCTTAATGATATGATCTCGATCTTTAGTGCAAGAAACGCCAAACCATTCACAGGGATCTGAATCTAGCGTATTCCAGTTGGACAGCACGAGGTATGGATCTTCATATACAGCCTCCTTAAAGGTTGTCAGCGCCCAAACTGTGAACAAACAAATTTTTCTGTCAATGAAACTTTCTGGGCTGCGATTCTGGGCAAGTAACTGCAGAAAACAATTCTCTTTAACAAAGACTTCAGTGAATACCATGGTGCCGTGGTTCCATTTAGTAGGCAGGACAACATGACAGTTCGAATGAGAAGAAAGCAAAAATTTTTAATCTTGCATTTTCATGATACTTTACATATTAACTGACGAAGAAACTTGTAGCTTTCAACAAAACGAAAGGCAGGATTAACAACTTTGATCCTTTCTCTGACGCAGCCCAACAGAGGCTAGAATAACTGAAGAATCGCGATCTATTAGCGAATGTGATTCTTTAGAGGAAACGTACCTTCATTTGAGGGAACCGTATCACAAGTCGCGAAAGAGACCATTAAAATTAGACTGAGAAACAACAACGAACCACATAACTTCATCTTCTCCCAAAGCCTTCCTCACTGTGTCAGTCACTTCTCTTTTAAGTAGAAATACAAAACAATTCTGGAATTGGACTCTTCTCAAGAAGAGTAGAACCCAAGTAGGTGCGATTTATGGAAGAAAAAGAGGTACACGAAGCTGAGATGTTGTACTACTGGAATGTTTGGATTCGGTGATACACAAAGGAAGAAAAAAACGGATTCAAAGAGAGTTCAGCTACGTGTAATTAAAGTGCCAAAAATGGATTTTGATGAAGGAACTGGGATAACGAAACTTCAACATTTGAGGCTGGAAAGCAGGAGGCTTTTCGTTTGATTGGTGGCTTGGTGCCATATTAAAAACGAAGATAAAGAAGGAAGGAAAGAAGGGCGGTTTATAATCTTTTTTATAATTTTTGAAAATTTCCGGATCCCCTTGGCTTCATGCGATCGATGACCTCCGAGTGAGTGAGGGATTAGATTAGCGTCATACTGCGGGAGCAGCTTTTGGATTTATTCTGCTAATGATGGCAATTTTGGGTAACTAAATAAATTTCAATCATCCTCATGAACCGGCCTCTTGAAACTTCCCGGCAATTTCGTTAACCCGAAAGATCAACATATCAAAATCATCAGTAGGGAATACAAAATGGCATAAAAACTGCACGATAATCAAAGATTAAAACCTCTTAACTGCACAATAATGTGAATATTTATTAATTGTTTTCTTTTTAATTTAAAAATGGATTGAATTCTTAAATATTACACGCACTTTATTATTATTTTCAATTCTAATTACAAGACATCGTTTAGAAACTAAATAAAATTTTATAAATAAGAGATAATATTATTATTATATGAGCGCACGGACAAATTAAATGGCCCAGTTTTCCCGCCGACAATCAACTTCGACTATTGAGTTGCTCTGCGGTAATTTTGTCATTTACGGGTAACGTGTGTGGTAAATTTGATTTCTTGGCTTCGAGTCAAAATCACACGCCCAACTAGTTGCTCCCAATTGCTTGTTGGGAACCCGTGAATCCTAATATATATATTTGAAAAATGTTACCTTGATGGCTATTTTTGTTATTTTAAGTTTACATGATAAACATTAAAAATATAAATATGAAAAATATAAGAATTTAACCGTAAGTTCTTCATTTCTTAAAAGGAAAAAAAAAATCTACATAATATCACTTGATAGAGCACCCAAACTCCCTCCAAGGCTGCTTTAATTTGAATGTAGTGGAGTCTCAATTATATTATTTTGCTTGGGAAAATGGTGAAGGTGGGGTTTAATTTAATCAATCAATTTTCTGAACTTTCGGCTTGTTGTATTATATGTTCCTTTCTATTCCTTCTTTTTTTAACCTTTTGGGTGATTATGACGGAAGCTTGATACCAAGTTGGCGGATTATGATGTCATTTAGTTTTTGGTTTAAGCACCATGAAGTTGACTAATCAAATATCTCCAATTAATTTAATTAATCAAATGTTTAGTTGGGAAATATATGATTAATTAAGCAAAAGCAGAAAGTGCTTTTTGAAAGAAAGGCATGAATTTGAATTCCTTTGCTCCCATTTTACAGTTGTTATCCACAAAACAACAGAGCACATCCTCCGGATTTTCATGCATCACGCCCCCTACCCTCTGGCTTTGAATTTTGACTTTGTTAAGTGACTAAGTAAAAAGATAATTTTGTCCAAAAAAATTTGTGCGTGGAAAAATATGTACATCCTAAAGTTTTTGTTGGATTAATAATTAAAAAATGATCAAAATTATCCTAATAATTAATAAACAACGTTTATTATTCATTATTTTTAATAAATAAGGACGACACTGCTTGTTTTTAATATACTTTTAGAGTCATATTGATCCGGTAAAAATTTCTGAATATTCATGACTTCAATGCAAATCAGGTAAAATTGTATTTTAACCCGATATGGTGTGCTTTGACTATGTTTTGTTATTCTATCAGTGCAATTCATAAAACGCACTATATATCATCCATTGAATTAAAAAAGTTTCATCTTTTCACTACTAATACCTAACATATACATTGCATGCGTCCGCAGTCTGAATTTCAGCTTATTATTTAAATATTGAAAGGTGCTTTTCAATGTTCGTGGCCATAGGTTTTTGTTTCCTGCTAAATTTCCCCACGATATAGATGAGGCTATAAAACAAATAATGAGAATATATTTATATATAATCCAGGCATGTCTGATAACCAAACAAACATTGAGGTTGAAATTAGGGCCATGTTGACTTAAACTTGTGTAACTGACTTGGCCTCTTCTGTTAATGTGAAAACGAAGCAAAAGTTCTGGGAAGGGAACTTCATCATGTATAACAAGACTTGGGTGGAGACTTGGCGGTTAATTAAGAGTGCCCTGAAATCCAATTAACAAAAGATTAAGGAACAATAATGGAATAAGACAGGGATTAATTAGAGAGATTATATTAATAGAAGATAGATTGACGGTGAAGCAGGAGGGAGATTGGTGGTGTGGGGTCCAAGGTTGGTGTTACAGTAACAGAACATTTCGTGTCGAAAATTGTTCTTGTGCTATTAGCTTTCATGAAAGGTGTCGTGGACATCCATGTCGGACGACACAGTTCAGACCCATTGAAAAATTCCCCTTTTCGCTGGGCATACCAAAAAAATTAAAAGACCCCTCCATGTGCCTTCTTTTTGATAACCAACCCCACATGTGTGTGTGTGTGTGTGTGTGATTTCCCTTTCCAATTTCATCAACACACAAAATGCATTTTCCCCCAACAATCACCTACTCTCACAGTACTCCTCAAAAAAATTAAACTTTCTTGTTAGTTAAGCTTCTTCTTTAAATTACTGTCTACTTCGTTACTCTCATCATTAGTCATAAAGTTTCAAGTTGCTCAGTCCACGGAGTTGTCCAGCACGTAATAAGTGTGCTGCTTCGTTTCTTGTTTCTGCTTTTCCTATAAAGGATTTGCTTAATCCTGAGGAGTTGCCACACTTTTTTAATTACTCCTCTAGTTTTAGTTATAGGACAGAGAAATAAGACATTTTTTGTCCTGTTTATAGGACATTAAAAAAATTTTTTGTATGAATGTACAATTTTATCCTCCATTTATTATTGCGTTAACTTTGTTTACATAAACTATAATGTATATTAAATAGGATTAAAGTTAAAAAATTCTTGAATTTTAGATAAGAGTTAATGAAGTTTAAAATTTTTCTTAATGTGTGAAATATGTTGGAAGTGACTTATAAGTAGGACTAGAAAAGTATATAGCACAGTAACTCTTAAAACCAAATTTATTTTTTTTTCAGGTGTTTTTCCAACACTTCTCACGGCAAAGGAAAGACATGGATGGCTTCTTCTTTTTTTGTGTGGAGATTCTTATATGTGGGGGATCGAATAATTCTCTTCATGTGTCGACAGCGCAAGAGTACACCAATACTCTGCATCGATAATACATGCAAAGGTCACAGCTCATGATTCATAAAGCCTTCTCTTTTTATATGTGAAATGATTTCTTTTCTTACAAACACTATGCCGAATGGAAACTACAGGAGAACTTGTGGAGGCTAACAGCAGTGATTTGTAGAATTTAGATGTGTCGAATTTACGCCACAAATTATGATTTGTTGGAGGCTAGCCAGCTAGTGCTGCTTTATTTGATAGTTTACCAATCACACTATAGATAGTTTTGCTTTTCTCATTTTTATTATGATCTGATCTTTTCTTCCTCCGCTAAATTATTAAACAACATTAATTAATTGCCTTCATCCTTACGAGTTTGTTACTCCCGTTTGCCTCCTACTCAATGTTGATTTAAGAACAAGCCATCCCACCACACCATCATTAAATGGTCGAAATCATGAGGAATATATTAGGCTAAAATATATATTTGGTCCTTTAACTCGGTATGAAGTTTCAATTTGATCTCTTAACTTTAAAAAGCATATATTTGGTTCTTTAACCATAAAATCATTAGGCTTCAATGATGAATTTTGTAATAATCATAGGTGTTTTGAAAATTAAACTTAATATGTTAGCATTTGAGAATATTTTATCAACATTTAATATCTTAATCTCATCAGTTTTTTAAAAAAAATTTAGAGTTAAAAGATTAAAAGTATACTTTTTAAAGTTAAGGGACCAAATTGAAATAAAAGGACCAAATGTATACTAATTAGCCAATATATTATTAGTTTCCGAGATAATTACTGATACATAATGAAGCTTCACGCTTCTGCATACACTTTGCTCAAAGGAAGGCTGCTTGGGGGACTACGAGAGAAAATTAAATTAATTAGCGAGTGAATGATGAGGCATTGCACAAAAGCTTAATCAAAGTCAGTGCATCAGAATTACAACTACTCATATTACTGCAAAATCTTAAGAATGGTCCAAGTAACATGAGGTCAATTTGAGTTGACTTGTGGGTTTTAATTAGTTTTGAACCAGTGGAATGGGATAACAAGGAAATGGAAGAATGTGACAGTACAGTAGTGCGGTTATTCAAAAGGAAATGAATGTGATCATCCAGATTGTAGGATAAGGAGCGACGGTGGTCCCAGAAATTTCACAGGTTGCCTCATTAATTCAATCATACGCTTCTGCCTCCCCATTAATTGCTTCCCTTCGGTGGAAACGGAATCCTCTTTCGACTTGCGGGATTCAGCCACAGAGGCTTCGGCATTATTTATGGTCCATTCTCGGCCCATTTATAGAAGCAGTGGGTGGGACCAGCCCAACCTCCTGCATAGGAGGGCCTCATCCCTTTACTTCAAGGCATACACACACATATAACCACTGGGTGTTTGATTTAGCAGAATTAGCTAATTTCTTACAATATCATGATGAATTAAAGTTTAAATTTTTATTAAAAGAAATATTTGAGAATGTCTCGAATAGAATTATCTTTAAAAAGAGGATACACTTGTATGTGTCTATATATATATATATATCGGTCACCCTTTTGATAAGGGGAAAATTTTTACACGTTCATCCCACACTATGATTTTTTTTTTTTTTTTCATGATGGGGTAAACATAAAGATAGAGAAAGTGACGAGGCTCACATAACCTCATGGTTTCATTATTCCTTTTTATTTCTTCTCAATTGAATTGTGTAGTTGTCGGAAAGAGTCTCAATCTTAAAGAAACCTATACAAACCATGGTTGAAAAGCAAAAGGAAACTAGCTTACAAGTAAATGTTCAATTAAATGTTTAAAATATATCACTCGTGTGCAAAACATTCTTTAATTTGAAATGGTTTTATACATGAGCATGCGTGTGAAATATAACTTACCAGATGCGCCACGTGTTTATTAATCTAAACTAAGGGGAAAATAATTTAATAATTTTTTTCCAGCAAGACAAAAATTAAAGATCAGATGACAATTCGGCCCGAGATCAGAATTGTAAAAACAATCGTTAAAATGAATCGGCAGACATAGAGCATATTAGATAGTAGTATTTTATATGTGTTCATAATTTCTGGATAAAACGCTCAATAATTTATCGTTAAGACTTAAATGACATCCGACGTAACCTCGATGTCTGTACTATAAACAGAAAATAAATATTATATGGGGTGAGTACCTAATACCTAATTTCTTTATCATCAGCATCGTATCCCAATGAATTCAATAAACTTGTACGGTCCTTTTCTGTTTGCTGCATTGAATTTACCTAGTACCTAGTGTGACGGGGACTTTTTTTCCTATCCTTAAATGGGACGAGGTAGTGACGTGTAGGATCAACAATAATAGTGACATATTCGAACAGGGAAGAGGCATGCACGTTGAAGCTGACGACTATTAATTAAAAACGTGCAAAATATTGATCAGCCATATATATATATATATATATATATATAAATGGTCATGAAGCACGCCATGACCCCAATTAAGCGCTATTAATTACTCCTTTTAGTTCTTGTCACAGCACTATTTATTTTCATTGAATTTCTCTTATGTATTAATAGGTTTTTATATAAAGAGAACTTGAGGGAATTATATATATGTACGAATGTTGAGATGATGTATGGATTCACTATTAGAATAGATTATTATTGATTAAGCAGCACGTTTGTGTTGTTCAATTCAAGAATATCTCATATTAATTAGTAGTGTTTGGATTTGAGTTTCCTAGCTAGTTGATCCTTATCGAGCGATGATTTGGCAATCATTGTCTTTTTTAGGGTTCGTGATAGAGAATCCATTTCCTAGGGGCTCTTGGCCTATGGAATGAGAGGGATTCAACTCTATTTCTTAATTACCCATCCCTCCATTATTTAATTTATTTGTGCATATGTCATGTTCATTTGTTGTTTTGTATTATCAAGGACCTTATATATGTGTGTTTTTGTGTGATTCTGCAATCCATTATATTTCCAGTAACGTTATTGGGAAAACTGTTAATTTCTTCTTTTATCTGTGCCTCTTTTTTGCTCTAAATCTTTTTGGTCTGAAAGGCGTGTCCAAGGTACGTATAAGTGAGGATTCATTTCATTAGAACAATTATGTCAATTATATGTACGTACGTATGCATGCCACCTGTAGTGTTTATTATTGTCTTCAAACAATAATACCGAAATCTAGATATGAATGGATCATAAAGAACTATTGTTTTGATTTTTTATTTATTGGTTCAGCGTAGAGCATGCTTAAAAGCATTATTGTTCAATTTTCAAATATTGCACCCTCTGTAAGTGTATATCTGTGCATCGTCAGAATATCATGTGCATATATGGCGTCCGCGTGCTATTAGTAGTTGATGTTTTTAGTTTTCGGCCCACACACCCATCGTCAGAATATCATGTGCATAGTTGATTTTTTAGTTTTTGGCCCACACACACACACTCGGACATATGCAAGTTGTGATTATCGTGGATATTTATGTTGGGTGTTTTTGCCACTAGAATATCTTGGATGCATACCCTGGAATAATTGGGATGATATATAACTTTAAGGAATAATGGAGAAACAGTAAATTCATCAAATTCAAATTAATATAAATAAATTGTAGAGATAGAAATGAAAGAACTTGGGAATCATGTGCGTGCGTGCGTGCGTGCGTGTGTATGATGCAGCGAAAGTAAAGAGATGAGAGGTGTCAAACATATACTACCTACGGTCCTAAATATAAGATTTTGTTTGATTTTTATTTCGGTCTTAAATATAAGATCCTAATCTACTTTGTCTTTCATATTTAAACGTTTTTTTCAAAGTAATCCTTCTAATAATAGTAATTCTAGCCAATACATTTGATTAGTAAGGATGTTTTAAGAAATATAACACTTATTTATTACAAATAACTAATTTAACTTATTTTCTTAATCTATTCAAATAAGTTAACTAGTTCTTATATTTAGGATAGGAGATAGTGTGTGCGCGCACGCAGGTCTAGGATGAAGAACTTAAGAATGTGATCCCTGCGATGCGGTTTTGTGGGATAAATTAGAATGAATTCATCACGGCCGGTCTGCCTCCACAACATCCTCACACCATAAACGTGCTTTAATTAATTTATGGGGTGTTTGGCAACCTTCAAACTATAGTTTCAGAAGTACTTTTTCGCAAAACGAGACAAATTCCTTCACATATTTACTTCGTAAACTATAAAAGTATTTCTGAAATCATAGTTTAGTTTCTATCTAAACAACCCCTTAATGGGAAATGACGACTTCCTCCGCAACTCGTCCTACCTCTACATGCATATTGCCGGAGAGGGACATTGAACCCGACACCGTTCCTCGGTGTGGACCCCACTTCACCGAATAATGAAGCTGATGAGAGCGAGTAGTTCATTAACTAGGATTATCAATAAGTGCTCTCATACCCAAACTCAACTTTAATCATTAATCAATTATGGCAACCAATTAATCCCCCCAGCTTTTTCTCTCTGTCCTTTTCTTTATGTACGTACCCACAGGCCACACAGTCGTAGTCCACGAGTACTGCTCTATGGATATGTCAACTAACATTCAATATTCTAAAAAGGTGTTCGTAAGTCGAAGTGGCGCGCGCGCCCACACACACACACACACTCTCACATACTAATATTATAAATAAGCTAATCCACACTTGTCTTGCTTCTCTGCAGAAAACTTGTAAGTCGACAGAGAGGAGAGGAGAGAAGAGAAGAAAAGCATATGGGAAAGATTTACCCTGATGAGCCTGGGAAACCCAATTTTGATGGGAGCATGATGAGCAGCAAAAGAGAAACATACACGGTGTGGATGAAATCACTTGTGTTCCACTCTAATGGCTGCACCGTCTACAACTCCAACGGTGATATCGTTTATCGGGTCGATAATTATGACACCAAGGGCACCAGAGAAGTCAACCTCATGGATCTCCAAGGCACAGTCCTCTGTACCATACATAAGGTAAGTACACACACACACACACACTAGCTCTACCTGTTGTTTCGTTGTTTTAATACTTGCATGCATGATCAGATCATATCTGAAGAGAGAGAGAGAGTGTGTGTGTCTTTGTGTTGCAGAGAAAACTGCGGTTTGGATGTTGGGAAGGGTTCAGAAGCAGCAGCAGAAGGAAGGAGAAGAGATGGTTCCAGGTGAAAAGATGCCAGAAAATGATGATGAAGGGGAAAGCAGAATGCGAAATGAGAGTAGGGAGCCAAAAGTACTGGATAGTTGGAATGGGAAAAACCAAGGCAGCGTTCGGGATAATAAACATAGATCGACAGATTGTTGCAGAGGTTAGTGTTTGCTCCTCGATCGAACATAGCTTATCTTTCGAACGATGATAGATATAGTAATTATATTATGGGATGATTGATTAAATTAATAATGGTAGTGTTGGAATAATATATGATGGATATATATATCATCAGGTAAAGCAGAAGGAATCGTGGTTATCAGGAGTAGTGCTGGGCGATGATGTGGTAACGTTGGAAGTGGATGCCAATACGGATCATTCACTCATGATGGCCTTTGTCACGGTGTACGGATTAATGCGAGGCAGAATGTAGATTACATAGATACTACTCCTCCGGTCCTTATTATAAAACCCCATTTGACTTTTTATTTGGTCCTAATTATAAGACCCCAATCCATTTTGTCTCTTATATTTATACATTTTTTTTCAAGATAATCCTTCTAATAATGATAGTTTTAGCCAATATACTTAATTAGCAAGGATATTTTAGGAATGACAACACTTATTTATTATAAATAACCAACTTAACTTACTCCCTTAATCTCCTCAAATAACTCAATTGGGTCTTATAATTAGGACCGGAGGAGTAATATAGTACCATTCATTCATTAATTCCTACCTATTATATATTAACTCAACATTTTCATATATTCTCTGCTTCCATAATTTTCCTTATTCCTCAGCCGATTTTGGATATGTGCACGAAACATCAATACAGCGTTACATTGTAACTACATATATATATATATATATATATATATATATATTACTTTTGGTTCTAAATATAAAAGTTAGTTAACTAATTTGAATACATTAAGAAAATAAAGTAAGTTAGTTATTTGTAATAAATAAGTATTATCTTTCCTAAAATATCCTTGCTAATCAAGTGTATTGATTAGAACTATCATTATTAGAAGAATTATCTTGAAAAAAAAATATAAAAGATAGTATATATGTATAACGCTCCCTTTGATTTGATGATTTTCCGTACAAGACTCACACTAGATTGCGAATGGCGTTTGGTTTGTTATTAGGAAATATTTACCTTCAGTTCGATCTGGGTGTGTTATGTGGAAAATGAGAGATACAAATGACAGAGATATTATTACTCACAAATTCTATTGAATAGGTAGCTTCATTAATTCTATCATTCCTATTATTTTATATACAATATATGTGCATAAAAGTGTATTTAATTTGATTCATGCAAATTTAAATAATGGTGAAAAATTAATCTTGTTATCTTACTTCCTTCGATTTAATCTGTTTTTAATTTTAAAATTAAACACTGTAATTTTCAAGTATTACGATAGATTTAAATATTCTATTTTCTTTCTCTTAGTGCTCATAATAGGCTGATTTAAAGGGGGACAAAGAAAACGAATAAATTAGTTCCTCGAAATTAATCCCAGAAAGAAAAAGAATCGTATTGACTCCATGACAAATTAATGGTCAGTTGAGTGGTTCTTATAACCGGTCAAATGGTCAAAACCGAGTAGGGGTGAGCAACAAACCCATTACCCGCTAGCCCGCCCATGACCCATGAAATTTTTGCCCATTTAAGCCCGCCCAATTAGCCCAAATAAGAGATTATAAACGGGCGGGCTTAAATGGGCAGGGTAGCCCATTAAACGGGTTGGGCTATGGGTAAGGTATTGGGCTGCCCATACCTGCCCGTTTAAGTTTTAATTTTTTTAAAATATTTTTATTCTTCATTTAATTGATAATATTGTTTCTCATTCATCTTTTATTAAACATTTATGCTTGTCTAAGCTTTTATTTTATCTTTTAGGTGAAAGTTGGAACTTTCAAAGTTTATGAGACTTTATGATTGGTGACTAATTTTATGATTTTATCAGACTTTGATTGTTTGCGAATCTAAGTGAGGTTGTGTGATTGAATATGATTGATGTTATTTCATATTTGATTTGCTATTTGGCATGCAAAATTTATTGACAGCTTCATAAGGTTACATATACAAAATAACTATACTGAAAAAAAAATTTAAAAAAAATAAATGGGTTACCCCGTAACCCGGTTAGCCCAAATGGGCTGCCCCGTAACCCATTTAATACGGGCTAAATGGGTTACTACCGGGTTATGGGTTAGCCCATGCCCATTTATGAATAAATGGGCGGGCTATGGGCTAACCTTCGGGTTAGCCCACCCCGCCCATTGCTCAGCCCTAAAACCGAGCAGGTAAAAAGAAAAAAATTTGAGTTTCCTATCAACTTTGACTTTTTTCTCTTAAAAAAGCCATCTTTCCTTTTCCTGCATACCACTAGACAGCTGCTTTGAGATTACAAATCAATTATTCAAGTTAAAATATTTAAATTTAAATTTAAAATTTGTGGAGAAAAAAACATGACGGTCTGGAATAAATATAAAAATAATTCATTTTAAATATAAATAAAATACTTTTGAATGTTAGAAATAACATTTTTACCGGTCCGATTCTTTGTCCGTCGAATTACCTAAAGATAAAAGTTTCATTAGTCAATAGGTGTAAATTATTCAGGGTGCTTTAGATAACCTTAGAAGACAATTTGTCCTCGCTTTTTACAGTAAAAAGATGGACAAATACTTACTTTAAGGAAACCCAGATATTTGCATTTATATCAAAGTTAATAAGAATTTTCTTGGCCAAATTAAAAGTCGTCAAACTCAAACGTTTGATGCGTGGAATCAATACCCACTGATAATATTAATGATAATTATATACGTTATTTCTTCATATCTATTGGCATAAATGGAATTCATAAAATTAATTTGTGCACTTTTCTGCAATGTCTTTGTTAGAAAATATTGATTCAACAATTGTTTTTCAGCAGCCGCCCCCAAAAATCTTCTTCAATTTCTTCCCCACTTCTTGGGAAATTAATTAGTAGGATTGTAATTAGAATTGCTGTTTCACATCTGCCATATGTATAATTAATTAGTCTTTATACTACCTATATTACTACCGGCCCTAAATATAAGATGCTTGTAATGCAAATTGCATTACAAACTAAATTTATATTTAGAACTGAAAGTAGTATTATATAAAGGTAATGGTTTTTTTACACCTCCCCCCCTATTTATAAGTCTTGCTTTTGTTTTCATTTTATCCTTAAATATAAGTCGTGATTCAAATTTGCAAGTATAATTAATAGTAATTGTTTTCAATGATACTCCTATTTAAAAGTAGTTAATATTTAAAATATTGTGGCACTAAATGAAGAGTAAAAATAAAAAAAATAATTCTTACATAATAGAGTACATATATTTTGGTTTTTCTTAGTCTTATATTTTTTATGGGAATTTATAAATAAATAGGGACAGAGGAAGTAAATAATCAAAAGCCAGTCCTTGAAAGTCGAAGCTCAAGGTCAAATTAAAGCTCAAAATATTATGTGGATCCTTCACGGCTTCACCAGCCAAAATTATTTTCTTTTAATTTTTTGAATCCATAATACAGCGTGCCAGAATACTCATAAGTAATTACTCCTCCGGTCCTTAATATAGGACCCAATTGTTGAATTGGTTTTGATCTTAAATATAAGACCCATTTCTCATATTTATCAATTTTCTCTAAATTACCCCTATGGATACTTTCTCAACCATAATCAAGTAGAAAAAAGATGGGTATTAAGAAAGATGATTATGGCATTTTAGGAAAAACGTGTCACATTTATTATAATTAACTAACTTACCTAACTTCCTTAATCTAACCAAATTAGTTAAATGGGTCTTATATTAAGGACCGGAGGAGTATATATTTTTACAGCAAGGGAGCATTGATTAATAGCGTGTAGTCATTGGAAAAATTAAAAAAAAAAAAAAACTGTAGTCTTTGTTAGAAAAAACGTATCCCCAGTCTTCATTATCATATTTTTTGTTTCAGAAAATCTTTATCAAAATTAAACAAAAATACTCTGTCGCTTTAGTTGACCATAGCAGTTTAAACTCAAATGTACACACTTCAGACCAAAACACTAATATTAAAAAAAAAAAAGAGAGGAGAAACTCATGTACAAACTCACTAATCAACCTTATAGGTATAATGGACCAATAAGGTGTTTAGAAACTTTAAAAAAATACTTTTAATTTTTTTTTATAAAACGAGATAAATTTTTAAATATTTATTTTGAATATTATAAATAGTTTGGTTTTTATCCAAACAGATTTTATACAAACTGGCTACTCAAGCAGGATTATTGTGATTATTAGTATTTATCACAATAATTCTCAGCGTAGAGTAGGCGCATAGCCAATATATTCTAGGATCATGGGCCGCTGCAGATCTTGTCTGCTCCACATGTGTAACGCAGTTCGGCTCCGAATTTGAATAATCTAATGAGTAATACAATTCCAAGTTGAAGGTTGCATCCTTCTTTTTTTTAAAAAATAAAATAAAATAAAATAGATCGTTTAGCTCATCAAATTAAATAATATTCTTCCATCATTCTCCACAAAATATTCGCTGTGTTATTTGGCCTCTTTCTTTATTTCATAGGAATTAAAGATCTCCCAAGAAAAATTCATAATTATGGGTAAAATTCTTCAAAGTAGATAGGGTGTCCTTATTATTAATCCGAGAAATGCCCCTGAATGAGATAAGAGACCTCATGGGTTACATATTTTCTAAGACAAGTTAACTTTTGCCCCAATAGATTAGCTCAGTCAGCATACCATGAAAGATGGATCTTTAATTTTTGGATATTTCCCTGATATATCTTAGGAACTAATGGATATAAGGAAACCAACCAAGGAAGCTGGCAAATAATAAGCCGCTGCCAAGGGAGCATTTTCTCCCAAAGTACTGTTAATTATACCAAGGGAAATATTTTTTTTTACAATAAAAATAATGTATAAATAACAACCCAAAAGGAAAAAAAAGAAAAGAAAAGAAAAGAAAATGCACGTCACAAAATATTTCTACCAGAATATGCAACTGAGTGATATTTAACATCACTGATTTGGGGTAAATTTTGTAAAATTGTGCCCAATGGGGCTTCACAAAATACAATTACGCTGCCAGTAGGCAGTATAGATATTAATTTATTCATTTTAATTTGTGATCCTCTACCGCAAGGCGCCTTCCTGCTCAAACTATACACTATACACTGCAGGCTCCAACATATCAGGAACATTTTATTTGACTTTATATGCAATCCGGAGGTTCCGCACTGTCATAACAAGTTTTTGCCTTTCACCTTCTACTTCTGCAAATCTCAGACTCATTTCTGTGTATCTCTCTTGCATCTCCTTTAATTCACTCTCCATTGCTTTGTTCCTTTCCTTTACTGATTCTAATTCCGCTAATATATCACAAACATTGCCCATCCCTTTATCATCATTGGAAGTTGACGAGTTTATATCGCTGCCATGGAGAGGGAAAAAAAAGGACCCATAAGTTGACAAAGTAATAATAGCGTAGATAAGGGAGGAAAAAGGCTCATACATTAAAGAGCAAACAAAATTCTAGTGCTGAACTTACCAATTTTCTTGAGATGGACCCGTAGCACCATTGAGATGCTCCGCTGGATCTCCTGCTCCCACAGTTGAAGGAGCAATGCTTTGATCTTCAGCAACCTGTTGGAAAGGCATCCCATTGTAAATGTATTTCGTATATACAATTCTATAGCATTATATATATAAAGTAACGAAACTAACTTCAAAATCAAATTTGTTGGAAGAAAAATGGAATGAAACTTTAAACAAAGAAGATAAATCACAAGTTGGAGACAAATAGTTGAAATTTTCCTGTTGGCCATCAAGGCATTTGGATGGATCTGATGTGACAACGGCCTAGAGGCATAAATCAGTTCACAAATGGTGACGTTTTGCAATATAGGAAGAGGTATAACCTTTTGCAAACCACTACTCTGATTGAATTCTTCCACTTTGCTCTCCAACTCCTCTATTTTGTCTTGGAGTTCCTTTTCCTTCTGCAAAAAAATAGTTGTAGACGCTTCCAGTGCAGTTTCCTTCGACTTTATCAGGCCCTGTCATAAAATATTCCTTTTGTCATCATCCCATATCAACATTGCCATCAGTATTTCGTTTTATCGTAATAAAATACGAAATGAGTGATAAATAATGGGCAAAGTTACCTCGAGCATTTTTATTCTTTCCCTCAGAGTTGCAATCTCTTTCGAATTCTGAGGGATTGAAGCAGATTTTTTGTTCTTTGCAGTGGCAGAAAATTGCTGGTGTCCATTAGCATCCTTCAACTTCTTTTCAATGTTGGTCGCTGCATCTTCCTTCTTCTTTAGTTCACTCTTTAACTGGAAAATTTGCTTTCTTAGTTTTTGTTTCTCTGCCTCATCCTCATGAAGAGAACGCCTCAAGTCACTACATTGATCTCTAACTGCTTCCAACTCTGATTGGAATGACCTGGCCATAGTCTCTGTTTCATCCTTCACAATTCTCATCCTATTTAGATCTTCAAGTGTCTTCTCCACTTCCTTCTTCAGCAAAGCAATTGTACTCACCAGCTCGTTTCTTTCATCACTTCCTCTCTGCGCCAGGATCTCTGACTCCTCAACTGATTTCTTCGTAAGTTCCAACTCAATTCTGAGACTTTCTTTCTGCTCTGCTTGCTCAAAGTAGTATACAACCTCCCCTTTAAGCCTTTCATTCTCAGTTTTTAAGGTCTGGATCTCCTCGGAGAACTCCCTACAAATTTGCTCTTCATGATTTTTCTGTTTTTCAAGAAGCTTGGATTTCTCCTCAATTTCCATCAACATCTGGTGTATCTGAGTGGCCATCGATTCTATTTGATTGGACAGATCATTCAGCCTTACCTCATAATCATTTTTAACGGACTGGAGCTCTTCCTTGACTTTATGTAGCATTTCTTCCAAAAGGTTTTTCTGTGCACGCAGTTCACTTGCCTCTGCATATGCTCTCATGGTAGCCTTCTCATTTGCATCAAATGTAGAGGCCATTTGCATTGAGAGCCTTTTGAATTCCTCTTGAAGCCTCCCAGCAGCATTAGCATTTTTCAATCTGGTCTTTCTCAAAGCTTCCTCTGCCCGGATGGCTCTTTGCTCCTGCTCGACCTTGTCACGCGTCACAGCTTCTAAGTCAGCTTCAAATCCTTGTGCTTGTTTCTCCAGGTTTTCCTCTAATCTTCTGATATGGTTTTCGAGATCCTTAACTGTTTCCAGAGACTCTGATAATTCCCGTGACTGTACCTTCAGTTCATTTTCGAGGCTCTCAATATGCTCTTCAAGGTCATTCACAGCATCAGGAAGAGAAGAGCTATCGTATTGTTTCAAGTGTTCCTGCAGTTCACTCTGCTCCAACTTATATGAAATTTCATGGTTTTCCTGTTTCAATATTTCGTAGTCAAGTGCAAGCTGCTCCATCTGCACCTCCATCTCATCTTTGTCTCTCTTATGCATATCTATTTCACCATACAGCTCCAAAATTTTTTGCTCAAGTAAATGTGAGTCCTTCAAATTGCTTTGCTGCACTTTAACAATCTCCTCCAATACTTTCTGTTCTTCATCGTCATCCATTACACATTTGGATAGGCTTCCCTTGAACTCTTGGGAATTTCTGCTCAATTGAAGCGTACTGGAAAGATTGTTAATTTCCATGTTTTTCTGCTCCAACATTTGATCCAGGTCTTGTACAGCAAGAACCAATTCAGCATTTGATTCCTGCGTCTTCGCCAACTGCAATCGAAGATTGGCATTAAGGTCCTTTTCGTAACTCAGCTCCTGTCGAATTTCTTCAACAAGGGTGCGCAGATCACCACCTTCCAATTGTGTTCTGCTCCTCATTTTAGCCTCGTCCATGCGTTTGTGAAGTGACCTGAGGTTGTCACACTCTTCCTTGAGAGCATCTCTTTCCTCTTTCAAGCTGATAACTTCCTTTGAGAGGTCTTGCCCTCTTTTGCTTTCTTTTACAATTTGCTTCCTAAGAGTCTGTAGTTCCAAGTCAGACATATCGAGCTGCCGGGCCAAAGAGGCAAGTTCAGACTTGAGTTTTTCAATCTCCAAATCCGTCGCCTGATGGGATCTTTCCTTATGAAGGGCATCGCGAGAACCGTTGGGTGAATCATCTGTACTCAAACCATGGTCTGAACTAGCTGACCAGTCCCAGTGTGATCTCTCATACATTGACGTTGTTAATGGCGAGGAATTTGGGTTGTGGTGGATATTGTTCGTATTTCTCGGTCCAAGTTGTCGGGGAGTATCAAGTCCAGAGCTTCCATCGGAACTGGACAATGTAAGGTCGGATTCGCTGGATGTCCTGCAATCAGCACTCAGTTCGGCTCTGTGGATCATTGGTTCGGCAGAGACGTCCTGTGAGATAGAGAAAGATGGAATTTAATGGTCTTAAAAATATCCGCACATCGGATATCATTGCGAATTTTTACGTCATTGAAATTTATGCATTGACTAGAACTTAAATGGAAGCGAAGGTAATTTTCCAGCCAAAATGAGAGAAACCTTACTTCCGCAGATTTCATCGTAGTGCTTTTATTTGTGTCTCCATTGCTTAGAAAGTTCCTTAAGCTTCGCTCATTGGATTCAATTTTGACGTCTTCACTTTCTTCCTCCTCTCTGCTAATGTTATTGGACAATAAAGGACACCATCGTCTGAAACTGTTGGATTCAAAGCGAAGTATAGATCTCTAAAAGCAGACATTAAAAAAATAATTCTTATACCTTTGATCCCCATTTTCATGTAGCCTCTGAATTGAGACCTGTTCATTGAGCAACAAATTCAGTTTCACTGGAATTTGCAATTCAAGATTGCAGGGAATTATGTTTTCCATTTCAAGGATTCGTGAGGTTTCAATTAATTTTCAGGCAATGCCATCTCTAAAAAACATAAATTCAGGGAGATGAAAGCTGTTACTGACATGCAAAACGATTCCACAACGAGAATTCTTGATAGGAAGAGAAACAGAGGAGGGCTTCGTGGCTTTAGCAAAATCAGCGAAATTAATAGAAACTTCGCCGATGGAACCAGCTTTTGGTAATCCCTACACGCAGAAATTAGACCACATTCAAACATTCGCAACCACTTGGGGGGGGGGGGGGGAGTAAACTGCTTAAATATTCACAGCTAAAGAGTGAAGAAAGAAATTTCACACCGTTGAAACTATAAAATGATAGATTTTGTCATTGATCTTCCCAGTCCTGGGCTCCTGAATAAATTTGACTGTTTCATAGACAGGATTCTCCCATCTACAAATCCCGTCTCGAACTGCTGCGTTCTCTAGTCTCGTAGTTGGCTTTCCGACGTCCACCGGAATTACAGATATTCCCAATGCCTCTACCCCAGATTGTAGCACCTGAAAATGCAATTCAAAACATCTCAATTCACCATCTAATTCCCAACTTAATCCGCATTACACACACCATCGAATGAATCCCACCTGCCGACTTTAATTTTCGAGAAAAATGAAGAAGGTAAAATGATCTTGTTTTCCTTTTTATAACACTGATCATAAAAATTCAGAGAAAAACTGGTGGTAAAACAAGGCTCTGGTATCTTTGCTTTGCAGCTAAACAGAACCCAGACTGAATCACCAGAAGAAGACCGAGCTAAATACTAGTAGTAGTAGTTGCGAGCGATTATGATTAATCTTGAAGAGAACTCAATGTCGGTTCAAACTAAACAGTGGTCAATCCCAACTAACGAGAGACCCCAAAAGCAAAAAAGGAATGAAAGAGAAGTAAGTTCAATTAATCTTGAAGCAAAGGCAATGGAAATGAAGATAATTAACCTGAGTAGCATGAAAGTGGAGTTTGAAAACAGCTTTGATCCTGAGCTTCTCGCTCCTCCATCTGGCGGAACGAAACATCCCGCCTCCCTTCACCGCCCCACCGACTCAAGTAAACATGGAGAGAGAGAGACTCAAAAGCGGAGGTTTCAATGCAGCAGACGAAAACAAATCGGTCAAGACATTTGCGCAAAACAGGGAGCAGAACGCAACGGACGAAATCGGGTCAAAATCCAGAGGAGTGAAGAAGAAGAAGCGGAAGCGAGAGGTTGCAGAGTTGCAGTATATAGTAGATCTGAATTGCTTCTTTATTTCTCCGTCATTAGGATTTGTGACTGTAACAGTCCTGAAGAAACACAGGACACATGGTTTCCCATTATTAAAATATAAATCAAATTGCGATTGCGGATGTTTGCATGCGTCGTCCCAAAAAAGGTTTAAAGTGAAGAAGAAGCTTCTATTTGTACTACTTACTCTAAAATTAACCTCATTCAAATGATTAAATAAATAAATGAATAGAGTAATGAAAATTTAACAAGATTTGATCACTTGGAAAGGGAGGGGGGGAAGATGAATTAAAAAATGAATGCTGCAGAATAGAAAAGAGTTGGTGTTCCAGTTCCAGGTGTTACCAGCTAAGCTGAATGCAGAGGACATAACAGGGAAGAGAAGGGAGCAAGTGGGATTATCAGGTGGAGGGTCATGTGAGTTAATACTTAATACATAGAAACAGGGATTAAGAGAGATAAGCAGGTTTAGAGGGAGAATTGATGATTTGGGGGGTGATCATAATTTTAAGGATTAGTCTGAATAATGAAGGGGGCCCACAAAAGGTGTGCGATTTTTGTTTTCATTATATTTTGTGTAATTTTGTGACGTAGTCGTTGGCCCTCCACAAGCGCCGCACATTATCCTTTCCCGCCACACTCACTTGTCTCAGTTTTTACTTTTTATGGAGTTTTTATTGGTGTGAAAATGAAAAATACAAAAAAAAAAAAAATCTCAGTAGTATGAATTTCGTCACAGTTTCAGACGCAATAATATGGAATAAGGCGCGCGCATACTCACCGGATTGGGCACACAAAACAGAATGAAATATTATAGTGTTACCCAGCGAAAATCACGTATTAACCGCATTAAATAAATATATTTCACATCCATCCGCTGTGATTTTTTTAATTACAATTCAGGCACTTATTATATTCTTAAATAGAGTGTTTGAATTTACCATCCTACCCTTAAAAAATGTTGAGAAATTTATTTAGTCTGATTTAAACTAATCCTTCTATTCTAATTATAAAAACTTGTTTATAATTAAAACCACAGCTAGTATAAAGTACAAACGCCCCACGCAGCTTGATGAAAGACTGATTTCTAAGCAGTATAAGGAGGTATTTGATGAGTATAAAAGTTCTTTTCAACATTATTTTTCTACAAATCGAGATAAATTTCTTCATATATTTATTTTGTATATCATAAAAATGCTTTTAAAACTATAGTTTTGTTTTTACCCAAACAACTCTTAAGATAATGTGACATGATATGAATGTTCACTCTTTAATTAAGCTACAATTAAGATCGGTTGTCCCCCCCCCCCCCAAAAAAAAAAAGACCGGTGACTGATTCCAAATAAGGTCACACACGCGCACACAATGGCGGGGCAGGGAATTTTCCTGTGCTTCCTTTTTTTTTGTTTAATATTCATCGCTAATTAGAATGCTTCTTCAATATTTTTAAATGATTATTTGGACTTCCTAATTTGTTGGCCTTAATTTCTCAATTTTTTGTATTAAAAAGAAAGGAAGAAAGGGTACTATCAAAATAATGATGAAAATTCTTACCTTAAAACTATTCCATCAACTATTATGGAATGTTTGGACGGAAGCTAAATTATAATTTTAAAAGTACTTTTAACGATATACGAAATAATATGTAGGGAAATTTATCTCGTTTTGCTGAAAAGTAATTTTTAAAAACACTTTTATAAGTTCCCAAACACCCCCTATATATATATTTACTATAAATCAACTGCTATATCTCAAAACTCCTATTTTTAATAGGGTAAAAAAATAGGGGGAATATTGACCTACATATATATCATCTGTCATTTTCTATCATAAAAATAAAAAATCATATTAAAAGTGTTGTTCCATATTTTTACACCCTCCATTTCTATACGACGTACTAGTATTACAATAACCCCGTTACATCTCATTCGTGATTGCTCATTTCAAAAATTCTCAGTCAAAAGCCTTAATTAGTCCTCGTCATCCAAATATACATGAAGTTATTCAAAACTAAAGAAAGCGATGATCAAATGAACGGAAAAGTTAAATTTATTATTCAGTCACTGAAATCTCCGAGGTATTCGTTTCAAAGGAAAAAAAAAAAAAAAAGCTCCCCATCCTTAGTCACATGGCAGGATTAAAAAAGTATTTAAGATAGTTATATGTAATTAATACATAGAAAATTTGCAATACTTTTTTAGAAAAACCAATGCTGCTTAATAATTAAAATTCAATGCATAGAGATAAATACCCTATAGATAAATAATTAAGAGTATACGGGGAAGAATTACTAACTCCTATCCTTAATATGAGAGCTAATTTAACATTCAGTTTTATCTTAAATATAAGATTTTAATATATTTTATCTCTCATATTTATCTATTTTTTTAAGATAGTTATTCTAATAATTACAAATAAAAGTTTCATCAAATAATAATTCTACTAACACATATAATTAGTAAAAGTATTTAAAGAAAAATAATACTTATTTATTACGAATAAGTAATTTAACTAATTTTCTTAAGATATTAAAATTAGTCAATTAGTTTTTATATTAAAAATTGAAGGTAGTATTAAAATAAGAAATAAGAGGGAATTAGGCCTTGTGTATTAACACGAGGGAGTAGCGTGCTATATATGGATATCGTGTAGCTTACATAATTGGTCTGGTCTCTCTTGCTTCTTCCCGGCAAGACAAGGGGAAAAAATATGGAGGTCAAACCACATCAGACAACTTAAATTGTAAGTTACAAGGATAATATCGTACTTAAGATTCTCCGACCATTACTTAATTTCATCAAAGATAATTTAAAACTCGTGTTTAAATTCAATGTGAACATCTGGCCAAAAAAAAAATATTCAATATGAACATGTAGCCTACGAACCTGATCGATACTGAGCTATAGCCAAGTTAGGTGATTACATATAGAGAGAATAAAATGTCAGTCCCCTTCTTCTTCACCCTGTCACTTGATCTTTAAATAATCGAACAATATGTTAGTATTAGGGGGGAAAAAAAATAATACTGCCACTGGTATTGCTTATTTCAGAGATCAAGGAAAAAAATAGGAAATATATTTAATTATTTATAGTCAAGTTGATCCGAGAACAGAGTCAACTGTAATTTAATTAATGGCGAGCATTCATGGCGGTGTGTGTGATGAGTTCAATAAAAATGAATTAACTCATCCCAAGGTCGTTTTGAATATAATGCATATTTTTGTGATGCAGGATAGTTGGTGGTAGTCCCCAGATATTTAAATCTTATCTACTACCCACTAACTTATTCCCATTTTTAAATATGCAACAACTCATTCTCCCTTTATTTATAATTAGCATATGTATTATGGTATCCATTCCCCCTAACTAAAACAATAGGTAACAAATAATTATAAATTAAAGCTACACCAATAGGTGAGAGAATAAATTGAACCTTTGAGAATGAGTTTTCTTTTGCCAAGATAATCTGTGCTTACAAGAAATATGAGCTTTTGTTATTGTTATTTTTAATTAGTTTTAGCGACAACTGAACTGCCACGGTTTTTTATTTTTATTTTTATTTTACTAAATATTAATGCATGGAGTTGGCCAAGACAAAAAAAAAACTAGAGTACGTAGTAAGATAAAAACTCATTTTGAATGGAGATTTTGGCGGCAGGGCAGGGGTTTACCGCATCTCCTTTTGATGAAAGAAACTTGACCAATGTTTATCAATGCACATACATGCAAAAAGGAAAAAAGGAAATATACATTTCACGATAAATAACGAATTTTTGATTATATCTTTGTATTAGTTCTGGCAAACTATATAAAAATCCTGTATGGCTAGTTTTAGGTGAGTTATGTGAAAATCCTGAATAATTGAGTGAGTCATAAATGAGTTAATTGTAAAGCCTGCAGAGTTTGTATTTGATTAAATGTAGTTGAAAATCTTATAAAAATCCCAAGGGATTGAACATAGGCCAGAGACCCAAAACAGGATAATTTAACTTCATCTACTCCTCTGTTCTTACTTATTTACTCTCCGTCGTCTATATTTACACAAACACACTCTCAATTACAAATACTCTTCTGTTCTTATATAAAGCTTGCTTAATTATTTAATTAGATTAGAAAAGTTAGATAAATTAGTTAATTATAAAAATATCATATATTTTTTGTAGAACAATATCATCATTTTTCTTAATATTCTTCCTTCTTCTTTTATTTGATTATGGTTGAGAGAGTATCAATATGGGCAATTTAGAAAAAACTAATAAATATGAGAAATAGGTTTTACATTTAAAACCAAAATTGACTCAACAACTAAATCTTATATTAAGGACCAAAAAAGTATATGAATTTGCTTGACTTGTAAGCTGATAATTGGGATGGCAAGAGGTATACATGTTAACCACAGAGAGTTCAATCACTTTACCATTTTGGTCCCATTCCAATGCGTGCGCCTGCAGGCACTACTTGCTAGCTACCATACCTCTATCATCACCATCTCCGTCACTACTCTACTCTCATACACGTATTTTCTATTTGGTAATACTGATGCTCCGTCACAATCCATTCCTAAATCTCACCTCCCAACCTAATTCTTCTCTTCTCCTTATTATCCCCCTTTCCCCTCCTTATTTAGCTCACTTTCCATTTTCACCCCTACCTTTTTCTTTGTTTTGTCACATTGTGTTTGGTTTGTGCCTTTTCATATTTCATTGGACCCACAACAAATTCAACACCCTCTCTTCTTTGTCTCTTTTCAGTTCTGCCAAATACACTTCCTTCTCTATGCATCTTTGTTTGGACCAGCTTTGTCTTGTACACAAGCTTCACTGTAGCTCAGTACCATATGGAACTTGTTACATTCATCGACAGATACAGAACCTATGATTAGTTTGACTCCTTTGGCATCAATCTCAAACTGTACAATTCAGTTGTCTTGTTTATATACGGAATATCAGACCATAATACCTTTTCTATTTTTGATGTGCATAACTTAGAAACAGGGTCATATGTTGTCCAGCAATTAGTTTCCTTGTCATATGTGAAGTTGAATATTTGCGTGCTGATTCGTCAAAAGTTTGAATTAGGTACCTAATTGTATAATTCACAAGTTTGAATGAGCAGATTCAAAAGAAGAGATCGAAGTGACAACACTTGTATGTTGTCTGCATGTTAAGCCATACCACTAACCGACCATCATGAGAAGGTAAGGATTGTGATTAAGAACAATTAATTGATTGATTAATAATTAAAACACCATTAATGAATAGTACAGAAGCATATATATGTAGGTCTATCTTATCTTAAGCAACACAAAAGTTGGAACCATAAAGATGTTGACGCCACGAGGTGATGATGATCTTAATTTTGCAGAGCGTCATTTGATTGTAGTTGGTCCCCTTCCAACACTTTCAACGAGAGGGACCCTCAATTCA